TTTTTTTTTTTTTTTTCCTTTCGGGCTGCGTTCGGACTAAACTTCAGAAGTCTATCGTCAGTGACGTCAAAGCAGTAAAAGTTGTGCAACTTCCGGTTTTTCCAAACATCGCAACAACCGAAGTCGAGGGGAACAAAACTACAACTTGAAAAATGAGTACTACTAAAAACTATTTAGATGTGAGCACTCCGAACCTTGTACTAGCCACACTAGCTGCAGTTCTTTCGTTATTTGGAACGACTTTCATCGTTGTTACGTTCTTCATTTGGAAAGAAATTCGATCGACGTCACGTCGAATTCTCGTCTACATTTCCATTGCAGACTTCTTCGTAGCTGTTGGAACAGTAGTTGGCGTCTCATTTTCGAAGCATAGCACGACATGCCTCATTCAAAGCATATGTGGGACCTATTTTGTACTTTGTTCGTTCTTTTGGACTGTCTTCCTAGCAGTCTATCTCTTTATTGGCTGCACTAACAAGAGAATTCTCTTGGCAGAGCGATTAGTGTGCCTCTTTCATGTTATTGCCTGGGGAGTACCATTGACTATCGTGTGTATTGCTGTTGCAAAGAAAAAGTTAGGTGATAATGGGGATATCGTGTCGTCTGGTTGGTGCTGGGTTAGTGCTAACATGAGTTGGAAGGAACAAGTAAAGTGGATGCTGATTGCTGGAAAGTTTTGGGAAGTTACAGCCTTTGTCATCATCACTATTTTATTTATTTTCATAAGACAAGGAATGAGAAAAGTTGTAAGTAGAATAGATTTATTTTATGCCAAATTAAAATTCCTATTTCTTTTCTCATTTTTCTTTATTTTTTTAACCTATCCCTTCCTCCCTCCCTCCCTCCCTCCMTCCATCCATCCATTCATTTGACCATTTTTAAAGTTCATAATTTTGGTTGACAGCTCAACAATGAAGAAGGGCTACTACTAAGTGAAAGATCAAGTCGAGCTGCCCAAACTGCAGAAAGAAAGTTAATCCTTGTGCCATTGTCATTTATTCTTTTACGCATCTGGGGAACAGTGCGCTTCTTTATCTTTGTTGTGACAGGGCCTAACAAAGTCCCTCCTGCTAATAACTGGCTACTCGTACTACAGGTAGAAACATATACCTATCTTTACTTGTATTAGTTTTGTATACACACTTACCTGAAGGCTCTTGAGTCAAGTTACTCATGCAATGTTCCATGTTGTGTCATTTAAGAGCATTTTATAACAAGTATACAGCATTTTTGAAATACATTTGATGAAAGTTTTGTTGGCAAATTGCATACCAAGCCTGAAATGCACTTTGGGTGATATGAATGAAATCAGTGAAAGACCACAACTACATGGAATTTTCAAAAACTTTTTCTGCACGTTTTTCCACATACTTTTTTCTCTGCTGACATTTATAACATATGACCTACAAATGCAGTTGGGTATGCAACATGCAACAACACTTCCACCAACCTTTTTTGAAATAACTTATAGCTGTATTACAGCTATTTCAAAAAAGGTTGAAAACTGAATACTGCATACTGAATAGTGCATTCCAAGACTGAAGTGCATTGTGGTTCATAGTGAAATTCTCTGAAGTAGGATTAATAATAATTATTTATTCTATTTTTAGTGTATTCCATCTGAAACAATATACTAACTACATGTAGAGAGTTAATCGCTGTATATTTACTTTTTATTTCAAATTAACAAGACCCTCAATGCACTTCAGTCTTGGAATGCACTATTTAGTATGCAGTATTCAATATTCAACCTTTTTTGAAATAGCTGTATATGCTAACCACAGTTGTTTTAAATTATTACAGGGAATCGGCGACACTTTGCCTGGCTTTGCAAACTTCCTCATCTTCTGCTTCTTCACTGAGAAAGTCCAAGGTCACCTGAGAACAGCATTTGGAAGATGTTTTTCAAGATGTTGTCCAGGAGTCCTCGCTGGCTATGGTACAAGATTAAATCATGACCGACTAAGAGGTGTTTGTGTACCAACATCATCAAATCCAGACCTTCAAACTTTTGGGAAGTGAGATAAGATGGAGAACTAGAAAACTATCATTATTGCCATAATGGCAATCTTTTTGAAATTAAGGTAAAAAATAGGTCATTTTAATCTCTTCCATGTGCTATAAATTTACCTAAGTAAATTAACTACTCTGGTTTTTTAATTGGAGAACAAATGATAGTAATTAGCCAATCAGTGTTCCTTTTTGCTGCAAACTATATGCATATTAAGCTATATTTTTGTGGTTTGTAACAATAGTTTATGAATGCAAGAAAATTAGTTTTATAGTTGACATATAAATATAAGCAATATTTTTTTGTTTTGGAAGTTTATTTGTTATTTTAAATAGTTACATGTACTGGTCTCCATTCAAACCAGCCTCAGCTCAACTAGACTGCCTGTCTAAAAATCGCAAATATTTATAAATAAATATTAGATATGCACCAAGTAGACATTTTAGGAGTTAATATTATTATTCTACAAGCTTTAAAAAAAAAACAGTTGTTTTTAGCTTGGGCATAACTATGCTTGTTTTAAGTATGGATAATGGAGTCTACAAATTAAAATAAATTAAATATTAATAAATTGAAAATTTAAATTAAATTAACATTATTAATTAATTAATTAATTAAAAAATTCTATTGTCCCTTTCTTCCTTTCCTTCTTTCTTTTCTTCTTTTCTTCCTATTTTCTTTCATTCTTTCCTTTCTTTCTTTCATATTTTCTCCCTTATTTCCTTCCTTCCTTCCTTCATTTTTCTTTTTTTGTTTCCTTTTTCCTTTCGAAAAAATAGGGGCAAATTTGGAGGGGAGGGGGGGGGGCGATAAAGTCGCGGCCATCTTTTGAGTTTGGGATGCATTTTTTCACTATTTTTTCAAAAAAAAAAAAAAAAAAAAACTCAGAGCGCAGGAAATAGCATTTCTGGAAACCACGTAAAATAATTCATTGGGAGCATGCTCCGATCCCGGATCTCCTCCAGACCCCCCTCCCCCCTTCTCAGATTCATGAACCGCCCTGTATATTCATTTCGACGACGGAGGGAGAAAAACCGGCCAGAGAACCTAGAGAAAAACCGTTGAAAAAAACAACAACAGCTTGGCTATCACGTGTCGGGCACATGACCCTTGACGTGTCGATAGACGTGTATCATAGAGAATGCCCTGGTGACATCGACGATGTTGTGCCCTGGTCGAACTTTTTCGGTTGGTTCACAATATTTTGACGGTAATGATGAAAAGGTAAATTATACACCGTGAAAAGATGAAAAAACTTACTGACGTTTCGGACGCTAGTCCTTCGTCGGAGTAAAAGAGAAAGAAGT